CCTGCAGACAGAAGGAAGGGGATGCTAATGCTACAGGGAGGACAGCAGAAGACCCTAGACTCAGAGAAAGGTGTTCGTGGAGAGACGCCAAGAAGTGCCGATACAAAGTTTTAAGACTAGCGGGGCTGAAGGAACCATTGCCACATATCAGGTTACTATACATCCTTTGCTAAGTTTTAATAAATAGAAGCTCACTACACAATGTCTTCTACATGCGGCATGAGGAAATGGGAATTTGGACCACGTTGACTACTCGTCTGGGATTTTACTCAGCACAGTGCCTGTAACAGCAGGCATTTGATGAGTGAGAGTGGAATTTAATTTAAATTGATGGGATCAACTCCCTGTTTTCTTAATAATCTGGAGAATTCATGTTAACACATGTGTGTAGGGGTGGGGCAGGGGCAAGAGGGACTAGTAGGGATGGAGAGTATTGCTTGAGTATTTAAGTTTTACAGACTTGGAGAGATGTAACTTCACTGACCTCTACAAACTACTGGAGAATCTGGTACTCTGTACTCTGGTGGGTGATGTTTGGGTCATCAACCACCCAGGTTTTCCAGAACTATCCAGGTAGTAGCCCTGGAAGCCCTCTGTCTTGGAAAACCCATCAGCCCTGGGAAACAGGGACAGTTCGTCATCCTACAAAATTGTCTTTAGCTACTCCCAATCATCTTGTCTAGGGTACTTTCCTCATCTTCTGTGCCCAGAGTTGCCCCTTCTCTTTGCTACTAACACATAACTTTCTGCCTCGCTCTCTCCACGTCCTCTCCCACCTTGCCCCCAGAACCATGTCTCGAATCCCAGACTGCAGAGTGGGCTCTGCTCCACCCCTCAGGTGCGTGTCCCATTTGTCATGGGACTGGATTCGCCAGGACCCAGAGAATTTCATGTCAGGAAGGTGAAGGGTATTAAGAGGGGTGTGGAGGGAATGAGAGAAAAGCAGATGAACTATTGTTTCAGCTTTTTGCTAACTTTGGATGAGGACGGAAAAACGGCTCCTTTTGAACTGGTTCGGACAAGCAGAGAACATTAGTTTTCTTTACTGAGCTCATTTCAAATAATCAGAGAGCTCATTTTCAAGTCTTCCAGTTCTAAGGTGCTATAGTTTGTCCCGAAGCCTTGTCGCCCCAAAGTTAGCTCAAGAATCCTTCAAGTTTCTTTCTCTCTCTGTTAATGATCTACAGAATGTTGGTTCCCATGACTGTGCTCAGGAGTAGTCAAAAGGCCAATGGACTAGAGTAAATTGACCTTAAGGATCCATTCTCCATCCAAGCAGACATGACTTTGGATATGTTCATTTGGGGTTATTCGCGGCACTGCTTTCTATTTACCTCCAGTGTGGTGTTTTCTGTGAAGCGGGACTTTTACCCTCCAGGAATATCCTTCACCGAGACGGCGGGAAACTGTAGCGCAAATGGACTCAGGTCCTCCGGGGCTCTCTGGAGTCCTGTCTCTTGCAGTTCTCCTTGGGTAACACGGAGCCTGTTCTTTAATCTAAAACACTGTTCTCTTCCCTTTGCGATGTTTCTTCCCCTCAGGACCCTCGCACTATTCCACACTGTCTGCAGGGCGAAGGGAATTGCCTTGGCCACCATCTTTCTCACATTACTTTCTGCTCTCCAAGTCAAACCTTCTCCTACAATCAGCTTGGGCTGCTCACTGCCTTTCGGATGCACTGTGCACCCATCCAGTCTGGCTCACGTTCCAGTTCTCAACCCCTACCTCAGAGAGCCCGATGTATTTTATTCTGATTTTAGAAAAATTAAAATTTCAATGACAGCTTACCTGAGTCACTCATGTAAGCACATTATTGAATACTGTCATGTGGAGTTAAGCTACAGCAATAATAAGAGCAAGACAGCTTTAATGGGCTTCTATTTTGTCTTATCCGGTTCAATCTCAATTTCTTAGAAAGGAGAGTATCTTCGATGTCTCCCTCTCTCAGTGTCTAGCATTGAGTAGTACACACAGTAGGCACTCAGTTTATACTTATTGAATAAAACAATCTCTTCAGGCCTTGGTTACACTCATCAGTCCTGTGAACTCAAAGACTTCACTTGCATCCCCATGGCCTGGGAGCACCTACTCTGAGGTGTGGAGTGTAATGTTTATTCAAAGGGTGGCTAACACTGTGAAAATTGGAACTGTCAGAGATTCTACTGTGTAGGCCAAAGAAAATTCTCTGCAATTAAAACCCCTAGGAATCAGGTGGGAGGGGCATCCGTGTGTGTCCACAGTCACAACACTTCTGTCAGGAAATCTCCCTCAGCTTCTTCCTCTTCCTTCTGTGTCACGACCATCACTGCCGTTGCCATCATCACCGTCGTCACCATCTAGACCCTTACTGACCAGCCCTCAGCACAGGGCCTGCACAGAGAAGTGCTCATTGAGTGTGAGTGGAATAAACACAAAAGGTGCCAGGACCCCAGCCCTAGTCCTGGCGCTTCTCTGCGGATGGGCTCAGTTCATTCTGCAGCATTTTCCCTGGGCACCGGAAACTCTGTTTTTATTTACCCTAAGTCTTCTCCAGCCTTGAAGATCCAGCCTCATACCTTTCCTACTTTGTAAATGTTCTTTTGTTAAGGTCCCCAGTTGGAGATCTAGCTCCCCTAGCATATCGGGGCTCATTCAGCCAGACAGCAGAGGTACAAACTTGGCCCAGGAGACGTGGCTCACCAGAACCATGTGTATTACCCAGTGGGAGACCCTCAAGGAAGGCCCTACTACTGGGGATGGGGGGAGTCTAGAATAAAATAGCCCTGTGTGAAAGTGAGTCTTTTCCTCTTTCTGCTCATCCCACTTAAGTTGACTTTTTCTCTGAACCCTAGAGTGATGTCTAGTCTAGAGCAACCACCTTAGATAAGTCCCCAGTTCAGGAGCAACCTCCCATTCTCCTTGTGTCATCAATCTGTTTTAACAACACATGAGAAACACCAGCACGAGAGGATCAGAGCCCATGGCTGCCATGCCTGCCTCACGCATCAGAAAGTCTATGCATTGTTGGTTCTGACTCTCATCTCTGACATTATGTGATAGAGATGTTTAGGAACAAGGACTTCGAAACCAGACACACTTGAATTCCAGTTCCGGCCCTGGCTTATTAACGGACTGACCTTGGGCAAGTTCCTTAACATCGCTAAGCCTCAGTTTCTTCAACTGTGAAGTTAGTAATGTGAGGCTTAAATCAGAAATTCTTGTAGTGCTCAGCACAATGCTTGGCACATGCAAAGTGAACAGTCAGTGTTAACTCTTTTTGTTACTACTGTCACTGTGACCACAACCGAGCCTACCGCTGACACCATTGCTCCTCCTACTGCAAGTCATATTTGAATCCCAGCTGCCTGGGAGCACCTGCTCTAAGGTAGCCCAGGTGATGAGTGCTGTTGGGGGTATAAATCTGGCTTTCTGGAGGTCCCTAAAACCTCTAATGTAAATCAGCTTCCCTCCCCAGCATACCTCTAATCTCTGTTCACAATGCTCTTATGTTACTCTAGAACTTTGGCCCCACATTAAATTCTTTGTGTAGATACCTCTCATTGGTCTGCAGGCTTCTTGAGGGCTGGAGTCATACATTGGTCACTCTGGCTAAAGGACTTCGACCATTTGTTGACATTCAGAACATCAGCACTTGCAATCTGCTTCAGAAGAGCAAGGAACCCACTTCTCATGCTTTAGGGCCAGGCCCTGCCAGGAAGGTCAGGAGATAGGGTCCCTGGAGAATGAGCCTCTACCACTGCCTCAGAGGCTGAGAGGAGTTCACAGTGCAGGGGAAAACCATCTGAGGCAGCGTTCCAGGCCTACACTCATCTCGCTCACCATCTCTCCCTTTCCCTTCTCTAGCAGCCAGAGCAGTTGTCTACTACTCTGTAGCTGATCCAAACAGATCAAGGCTCCCCAATTTAGTTATAGAAGTGGTCAGAGTCCTGCATTAAAGCAGCTACCAGGTGTCTGTTTTTGAAATAATTTTTTAGTATTTCACCCTCCATCCCCTGCCCCAGGACTACCTGAGCTAAAAAGAGCTGTTCTCTCTATTCCAAGAGTGAATGGCTTCTGAAGTAATAGGAAACCAGCAGAACAGCCCACCCTGAACCCCGGAGTGAGCCTCAGGGTCTCCTGTACCTTGGTCACTGGACATGGAATGTTTCCCTAGGGAGTGTGGGGGCAGACCTTCTCCCCAGGGAGAGAAGGGCTAATGTCCCAGCTCCTGAGGCTGCTCTACAGCCTGACCTTGTAGGATGAAACAGATCACCTTGTCCAGGAGGAAAAATTCAGCTCCAGGAACTGCCGGCTGCCTGAAAGGGGTCTCACTGGAAAAGGTAACATTGAGGTCACCACTACTTAGGCCTGCCCCATACAGAAAGCCCCAGACAGTAACCCTACTGGGAGGCCATGCAGTCATTTCCACTAACCTCCTGGGGATCTGTTCCATTGCCGGACAGCTGTGGTCCTTAGAGTGACCCAGAGAGTGGTTCCTGGTACTTCTCTGGCACGAACACCCCAGCTTCTCAACAAGACCAGGAATCTGGAGTTTTCCGATGAGCCCTCTTGGATAAAGCTAGGCATTTCCCTTGCTCCTGGCTGATAGATAAGCTAGAAGGAGGCAGCCCTGGAAAAATAAAGCTAGGAGATCTCTGAAGGGGATAACACTCCAGGTCCCTAATTAGGAGCATAGATAAATGCCTGATTAGACCCCTCCAGTCTGCAAAGGCAGCATATTCCACTCAATATCAGAGGCACTTTGTTGCTGCAAAGGGCTTGGAGATCTCTGTTCCACAAATTGCCTATGGCCCCTGGGCCTTC